CTCCTCCCTTCAATGATACTTTCAAATCTTTAACTTGATAGCATCATGAACATGAAAAATGTTAGATTTACAATGGATTCTATGAAATTAATCAATTATAAAATGTGATCTAACATAGAGATCCCCTAACATTTATAAGGCACTACACATATACTCCCTCTATTTAATGGTTGTTAAAAACCTTTGCAAAAAGTGTTGGTGTGAGTCATAAAAATTCATCCATTTCCATAATGGGTAGGGCTATTCCCACCACAAATATTCATTCCCACCCCATTTAATTTTTTATTATCAAACTACTAAATTTATTCTTTCTATACTCACCTCATTAATAACTAAACTCACTCTATATTATATACACTCCTTTAATAAATAAGTCCACCTTATATCTTTTCACAATTAGGGTTTCATTTATTATGTTATCTCATAAACTCACTAAATCACTTTTTTAATATGGAATTTCTCTAATGAGATACATGTTGTGTTTTTATATCTTTGTTAAGTTTAATAATTTTTTATTTAAAATTTATATGTGTGTTTATATATATATAAATTATACATACATAAATATATGTAGTCATTATATGGAGTGCAAAACAAATGGATTTATGTTTTACTAATTAGAGGAGACCCTTGAATAGAGTTGTTCGTTGGATACTAGAAACACTAATTATTCAAAATCTTCAACTGTACTAGGTAAGCAACCCACTAGATGAACTAAACATGTCATTTTGGCCTCTGTTTGTAATTACTTCTCCAACTTCTCCAGCCATTGAATAGTTAATATATTCCCTTGTTCAAAACAAGAAAAAGAAAAAGAAAAAGAAAAAAAGATATAGCCTTTGCAAATTAGTAAGCTTGTTTTGTTTTTTATATTTCTTCATTCGTTTTCTTGATTTTTCTTTTTTGTTTTCTTTTGTTCGTTGATAGATTTTTCTTTCTTATTGTATTTTCTTACTTGTTAAAGGGGTCTATATAACAAGTGCTATACTTAGTCACTAATGAGATAAGTATAGAAAAAATTGATTTAATAATTTGATAATAAGAAATTAAATAGGATGATAATGTTTATATGTGGGAGGTGGAAATTGCCTCACCTTTCCAAAATTAAATTTTTTCAACTAAACAATGTAATTACATAAATTATACCAAATTTATTTCCTAATTTAATTTACAAGATTTATTTTCCTTGCAATTAATTACCATTTTGATAATTAATTACACCCTTAAACATTTATTGCCTGAGTTAACCTGCTACTATATTTAAACTTAAATACACCCACACCTCAGAATCAATTCCATTAATTCCATCGAGGCAAATTGAGCTCATAGAGTGATCCTTGTGCTATCTTCCATGGCCATTTCCCATTTCTTGCCCTAATCATAAAAAGACCGATCTAACGTAGGCAAGTGAGAATAAATCGGTCTCAATAGATTTGTAAGCATAAAACCATATGAAAACTTGTCCTCTTGAGCATTAAAGGGTGTTGCGCAAAGATGTGTCCAAGTGTGACTCAAACTATGTTTTCAAAACTCATAAATGGTTTAGAAAATCCTTTCTTTTAAAACCAATTATGAATCATAATCGTATTGCTTCCAATTCTATTTTTATCCTAATCAACCTACATTAAAAATAACTAAGCGTTCATCTTATGTGTCTAGGTTATTACCTTGTCCTATGCATGAAGGTGCATATGGAGGTTGAAAGATATTGCTTTGACGCTTAATATCTTCTCTTCAATGATGCTTTCGGATCTTGAACTTGATAACATCGTGACCATACAATAGGTTGAGATTTATAATGGACTTTACAAAATAAGCCAATTACAAATATAATCTAACAGAGTCCCTCTGTGGGAAACATCCAAGTTGTCCGAAGCCTTTTAGGGGATCTTGCAATTGTAGATCCTCCTGAACTCAATAGGTGAGACAGAATTAAATATCGCATTCAAGCCTTTAGAGTTTCACCCCACAGATTCATACTCAATTTTTGTCCAAGTGCTTAGGGGTTTAGGTCCAGTCCCCGTGCCGGTCCCCTTGTTAGTTCTCATAGTCGAAGGGGCCCAACCTTCCAACACTGACAACTAAACATGCTCGTCTATTGATCTAATAAAATTCCTCATTTGAGACTTCTAATATGCATAATTAGCTCCATTGAAGAGTGGTGGTCTCAAAACTGAACTACCTTTTGAGAATCCATTAATAACCGACTAGTAGTTAAAACGAAACTCAAACCAACCAAAACTAGGTTAAGTAAGCAACAAACAAGATATGTCTACAATGTGCCTAATTGCAATTCAAGGGCAACCACACCTTGATACCAATTGAAATTTCCTCCTCCTAGACATAAGGATCTTACCACACAATTATACACATGGAATCGCTACAAACTAGAGGGGGTGAATAGGTTGATTAAAAATTAGAAGCTTGAACAAACACCAAATTATAACTCCTTTTACCTACTTCACAAACAACCTGATATGTTGATTTGATTTGTCAATTAAATTGTTGAACTCCTTTTACCTACTTCACAAACAACCTGATATGTGAATGGCTGCAACAATATGTCAATCAATCACCACCAATATAATCCACAACAACAATGATCCCTCCAACAAGCCAATCTCCACAAAACCTAATTCATTAATTGAATGAAACAGTTAAAGTGTCAATTCACCAAAAATAGCGTGTGCAATTGCAAATGTTCGTGCATGTGTGTATGCAAAATTAAAGCAATAATAAGAACATTCACAACACAAGAAATTTTTATACAGAAATCCTCTGGAGAAAAACCGCAAAATCAACACCCGTGTCATCTAGCCTAATCCACTTTCCAAAGTCAATTACAAGGATTCGAGTCTTATATTTCATCAAACAGCATTTTTCTGAAATCAAGGAGCATTGTTTTGAGGAAGGCAAAGTGTGGTTTTATATTGGATAGAAGTTGCTGGCCAAGATATTATTTTTGGTGAAAATGGGATGGTCTTTCAAACTTCTAAAATGTATTCTAGACTGCGGGCCCTCCCATTTATTTTGAGTGGAAGAATGGGTATTCATTACCTGCTACCCCCAAACCAATTCGCCTATGGTAAGATGCTCTGATCCTTGTCAATCTCTCCTCCAAATATGACCCACCGAAGTTTTGAGTAGCTTCACTTGGGCGAGCTCACCGCATTGGATCGTAGAGGTCTCAAGCAATCTTCAAAGATCCTATCCCAAGATTCTCGGTATGCACACAACAATGTGGGTTTTTGTAGAACACTAACCATGATCTTTTTCTACAATGTGTGAAGTTGAATTGGAAGAATCAAGATGATTTGGCCTTTGGATCTTAGGGATATAAGGTTATTCTTGGCCCTCTAAAAATTTAGGAGGATGAATTTTATCTCCTAAGAGTGTTACCTTAGCTTGGAATGGCTTACCCTATTTATATCCTTGAAATTTGAGTAGACTTGGGGAGTAAGAAAATATAAATTCATAAAGGAGTGCTCGAGCTATCAAAGAGCGATGGGAAGGTTGTTGGTACTATAATGAGAAAAGGATTCAATTTAGTCAAGTAGAGCAAGGGTCATTCGAGTAGTCTAAGGACCGCTCAAGCCGTCTACAGGCTACTCGAGTGGCCTAAGAGGAGTCAAAGGGCGGTCTCCACGGCCCAACTTGTCAGCCTTTGTCCAAATTTTTCGTAATTGTTTAGAGATCGCTCTAGCAGAAGGAAAACGAGCAGAGGGAAGTCCTTGTTGGTTTTTAACCTAGAAACCAATAAAAAAACTTAACCTATTGAGCTTTAAAAAGTGTTCCTCAAATAGGATTCGATACATGACTTTTTCTATTTTTTCAAATTTTCATGCTTAGAAAAAAAAATCATGAAAAGCCTAAGAGTCATTCACGGATAATTCTAAATCCAATTCCACTAACCTAATTAGTCAAAGTCTAAAAATAAACTAAGAGTTCTTAGGTGTCTAGGTCATTACCTTATTTTATGCTCTTTAAGGTACATTGGAGATCACTCGATTCAGCTCTAAAGCTAGATCTCCTTCATTCATTGAAACTTTTGAAGCTTGATTTTTGAAGCATCATGACTATTGATTTATCCATTTACTCAAAAGGATTTGTGCATTGATTTGAGGTCAATTAAACTAAAATTGATTAATCAATTTGTAATTGTGATAATTAGGTCTAATTGGGCAAATATACCACAACAAGTGTGAAAGACCTATTCACCCCTTCTAGGTTGCACTAGGCTCGACTTCACGTGTATCATCTTGTCGGGAAAGATCTTAACACTCTCATTTGAATCCAATCATATTCATTTGACTTGAACTTCAAATTCTATCAAATTCGGATATGAAAAAGTGAAAATATCTACTAGATATCCGGATCAAATTTAGATATGAGTTTTTAAGTCGAATTTGGTTTGATGGAAATTTAATCTCTTGACAAGCCCATTGTTAGGTTTTAGTTAGTGCATTGTCGAGAGCTAATCAACCCACACTCAACTTGTTTAACGAAGTATTTTACATTTTTTGACACAAACCAAACCTATAATTCTCTAATTCTAGGAAGATTTATACAATAATTGACCAAAAAGAAAATAACAAAAAAATAACAAAACATTTCTCCATACAATACCAGTTAAAACTGGTTTATCATGTCATGGAATTATTTGTAATTAAAATTAAGCATATACATTTATTATTATTCTTTACAAGTATTATTTTCGGGTTTCAGGTTCGTATCGACAATTAATCAACTTTTAACTCACTAACTTTAGATCTAATTTGCATCGTATCAACACATCATATGAAAACTTACCATCCTTAATAAACCAAACTAAATCTTATGTCTCAATCATGAGATCAATTATGACTTTATCTTAATCATTCATTTCGGTCGTGCATTATATGCTGACTTAAATTAAATATTTTCATATATTTTTTTATTATTTCATTCAATGTCAAACTTACCATCCTTAATCAAGATAGAAAAATACAGTAATGTAAAGTGGCATCTTTACGGAGTAATGGAAAATAATAAGTAGAAAGTATTCTTAGTGTTATCGAATGAATAGACTCCAATCACAATCAGAACAAAAATGACCTAGAATCAGATATAGGAAACCACTAGAAATTTAATTGGAAATAATACGACGAAAAATTCAAACGATCATTCCTGGCTCTCCTATTAATGTTTGTGTTGTGCAACCTGGTTAATGTGCAATAGATAACAGTTCCCTTAGTGCTAAATTGCTAATTGATGGCTGGAGAGGATAAGGGCCCGAAGAGATCACAGATGACCTCCAGATCCAGGCGTGCTGTAATCTGAAGATGGCTTACTGACATATGGGCAAGTGCTCATCACCCTGTTTGCACATAAGAAGCATATTGTTAGCTGATAAGTGAAAGATCTCAACACATTAGGAAATCAATTGAGCAGCATGGTATCAATTTAATCAGTATCAAAGCTCAATGGTTAGGTTTGACTCAGGTTTCACAATAGACCAATGAAAGGTATACATTCAATTACAAAGCTGGAATGTGTATAAGATGAAGTGCATCTGAAGACAAGGCTGGATAGACTCTCCTTAAGGGCAAACCCTGGAACATAGTATGGAGGGATTGAGATGACTCTTCTCACAAAAACTTTATTGAAATCACCAAGGGATTAACTTACCAAATTACAAGAGCTAAAACCAGTGCCCCCAGTTCAACTGGAAGGCTTGTCTCGTTCCACTAGGAAAATAGAAAACATACGTATATAAACATCTGGAGTGGCTGGTCCCATTCAGTCCAAGCAGCCAATCACTAGGCTGCTGCAAAATGGTTGAGTGAGACTTTACACAAACATCTTTCCTTGGAAAACAATTTTTCTAATTTGTTTAAAGATGCACATAATAGCACACACCTGGACTGAAAAACCAACCATACTAGTTTACAGTAGTTTCCAAAAGGAGTGCATTAAAACCAAATCCCTAGTGACAAGATGTGGAATACTAATAATACAGCAAGAATGGAGTTCAGTTAAAACCAGAGTCGTAAATAAGAACAGCTAATCCTACGAAACAATGAGACATTCTGTAGGAAATGACTACTCCGTTTAATTCCCAGCAAGAGGCATAAACCTATCTTTGACAAATTTCAGATATAACTGAGCACACTTCTAGAAGACTCATCACTAATGCAATGAAAGCCACCAGGAACGGAGGTTAGTATCTTGTGAACCTCTTAATGGTATGAACTCAACTGTCATAAATGCAGGTTCTAGGTTGGCAAATCCCAAACATAATACAGGTTGCAGTTTACTACATGGGATGAACTTGCAACTACAAAAAAAAAAAAATTTGGAGATATACCGTAGTTGCAAATTAGGGGGAAAACTTTTAGTTACCTCTCCTTGCGCTTCTCTAAAAATCGAGCCAACGATGCTTTGCGAGCCTGAGGCACAGCTGCAGAAATGAAAAGTCCATTATATAGATATCACACTATGAACTCATACAAGAATAACAAAACATGTGGCATAAATTTTTTGTAATATTGAAGAACTTTGCTTTGAAAAGCACAATGTTGTACCTGATTGAATGATAGTCGGAAGAACAGATCCCAGTGAACTGACTACTTTAGAATGCTCTGATTTGTTAGAAGAAAATGTCAGGGCTCCTATCGATTTTACTGTTGTTATTTCCTTGGTGCTACTGGTACCCTCAGCAAACTGAGAGCCAGAATGGGAGGATACAGAAATACGGCTTGAAAGACCCACACAAGGTGTTGTGCTATGGGACTGGCTCACAACAAAACCATCACTAAGAGAAGGCCTTGGCATCGCTGCCTGCACTTGTGTTGGTGGCACTATCATCTTAGGACTCACAGGTGGCCCGTTTCCAGCCAATAACATAATAGCTTGGGCCTGATTCAGAACAATGAAAAATTGCTCAAGAAAATTCCCAAAAAAAACTAAAACTAAAAAATATGAATAGGAAACAAATATAATGGTGAAAATAAAGAAGGAACTACCTTCTCAGCAGAGACGTCATCATAAACACACACCGAACCATTGTAAAAGATGGTCAATTGAGCAGGAGCCGAGGTCTTGGAAGCATTTCTGCAGTATAGATCAGTTTTAGCTCAGACTTTCTGTCATCTTGGAAGGAAAGTGATTCATTGCTTTCAGTAAATATCTAGATAAAACTGCAGATGCAAAATCATCTGGTAGGATACCTTAAATCAGTGGTACCAACAATGGAACTGTTGGGAACAACTGGAACAGGGGCACTAATTGGAACTCCTCCAAGAGGTTGTGGATTCACAGCAGAACCAATCAGATTTTGTCCAGCAGAAGTAATAAGTAAATGGTGACCAGGAGTACTCATAGCGACTGAAATCATTTGGGTTGTTATGTTGGCGACAGGAAGCACCCTGACTTCATGAGGCCGATGAACTGGCTGTGCATCAAAGGGTTTTGAAGCATAGGTTGACACCGTATAGTCGGTTACTGCTTGTTTCTCAAGACTCAAGTTTTTCTGAAAATTGAAAGAAACACAAACATCAAAAAGGTAGGTATCAGTAAATTACCAAAGCAACCCATACCGTAGCATACATCCAGTGAAAACAGAGCTTTTTCTTAATTTATGTTTTTTTCAATTCTTGGGGTTGCATTTAAAACTAAGCTTAAATATTTTGATCAAAGTTTAACATCAGAAATATATATGGAAGTTAACAAAATTTATCTAAACAAAAATTTATACTGCTACAATTTACATTACAAGTTGTATTTGTTTCTTTGAATGTGGACATGAGCTTGCAGGGGATTAAACAGAATCTTTGAAACAGGTGATAATAAGGGATAACAAACCTGCGCAACACCAGAGCATGGTTTGTGAATAGAGTCAAAAGCTTCTGTAGTTGTTATAGCCACCAATCCAGCTGATACAAAGGCATCATAACCAGTCTTTTTGGCCTTCTCTTCTTGAGCAGCCTTAAAAGATAAGATCCGAGGAAGGGCAGAAACCTTATTTGAGAATGACAACTGCATTGCTGAACTTCTCACCGGTGCTGCAAAATCAAAAGATGAGAAAATGATGTCAACTTAGTTGCATCAACCATTAGAATATCTTTTATAGCTGACATCTAATATAACAAGAAACACCAATCTTGAATTTTTAATCCTATAGATCACCAATGAGCTAAATACCTAAAAGATCAACAGCTAAACGTTGATTTGGTAAAGTGTAGGTTCAGAAACCGAAAGAAGATTCATTGGACGAACCTCCAAACCGTATGTTAATAGTAATAATCTCTATATGCTTCATGGCTAATTATATACTACTATTCTAACAGGGTCCAATTAAATAATTCAAAGTGCTCCGTCAGTGTAGCTGTTAAAGCGGGTGAACATGTTCATCAACTTAAAAAATTAATTATTGAGCATCTCATGCGCATTCACATAAAAATATATTATATATTCAACATTATTAAAATCAAAGCATATGGAACGCCAACCTGGTAAAAAATATTAAATATTACATTAAATCATTTGGGATTTCAAGGTCTGTATCTTATTTTAGGCCTCATATTTTAATTTTCTCTTTTTGGGTATTAGCATATAGTTTATTATCAATGCAGGTGACTTATGTGCAGGTACAACCGCCTTCAATTTAAATTTTATCTTAACCCACAGATTAACATACCGCTATTGAGGGGCAAGTTATCAATTTTGTTATTCAACTAATACAATATTACCCAATGAATACTCAGAGGGGCAGGGGCAGTCTCACATTAACCTCGTTGGTAGGACAAAGACGTGAGAAAAACCAAACCCATGTTTTACAACCAACCCAACACTGCAACCAACAAGAATGAATTGATACAATCCTCTATTTGGATGAAGTACGATAGCTTGAAATATCAGACTTCAAACAGAACATCACTAAAAAAAAATTATGTACAGTACATGTACAGACCCTCTGTTTGGCACCTGAGAAAACAGAATACAGAAAAGAAAAAACTTGGAATTTCATGAGTTGGGTTTACCACCGGCCTTCTAGGTCAGGGTTGGATTATGTCAGGAGTTCCAATCTCCTAGCTGTTTATCTGTCCAAAAAAAAAAAACAATTGATATGGATTTGGCCCGTAGAGACCCAAATAATGAGATTTCTCGAGGCCTGTTTTCATTGGTCGTCAATAAAAATTTAACAAAAAAAGCAACATCATCATGGTCCCAATTTATTTAATTTTTATCTTTGAGTTCTTTGAAATCCAACAATTTCTTTTTTTTCTACAATATTTCATTCGTTATTTAAAACGACGAAAATGGACTATCCTTGATAGGGCTTTGATGATTTTCATACCCAGTTCTTTTGATTTTAGAAAGTTGCTATAGTTTTCAATAATATATGCTCTTCATAATTATGTTAATCTAATTAACTCAAGACAAATCAAAACAATTATAGGACATAATAATATCACCTGAATCGTTGCATTCTTCAGTAGGTTCTCTTTTCGCAGTGGCCAATACATTCTTCGAAGTCAAGCCCATGACATTTCTCTCCATAGCAACCTCAACTCAACTCAACTCCACTAAACTCAACTCCAAAACAAATTCAACTTCACGTTCCAGACCACCCAGATGAAGAATCTATACCTTCTGTTGAAACCAGAAGGAGGACTAACATGTAAAAATTGACCAAGTAGAATCTTGGTTCGTTTGTGAACGAAAATAATTTGTTTGTAGTTTCTTTGCAGCTGGGAGAAAGTGGAAGCAAGCTTGAGAGAGAGAGAAAAAAACGCATTTAAATTTTAGTGCGAGAGGGTTTTGACTTTCTCCACTATCAAATCACGGCCCGACCGTGTCGAATGCCAATTTACATGAAGAGTCAAATATCTGAAATTAGTGAATACTCTTGTACCAGTTAGACAGTCTTTTTCAGACGGGATAGTTGTGGATATGGTATAAGTAATGAATGGATTTATAACATAAGTATTCGGATAGGAAAGGTTGCCCTACGGGCTGACCGCATGTATCGCTGTGTAACGGTCAATTTCGTACGTGACAATTGTGCCTGTCTGCAACTGTCTAAATTACAATTATACCAATGGTCAATCATTACATTCCAAGTGTGCAAAATATTAATTATGTACAATTTGAACTCATCTCACGAGGAATGGGGCATATCCTCTAAGGCAAGGGAAACACTTGGGGTGAAGGGTCTTGACAAGTCACTACGAGAGTGTGACCGCGGGAGGGTGATATCTACGGTGCCCCTTAGTGCACATGTAACCAAGATCATTCATTTCCTTTATAACAATCACGTTTCAATTTCTACAAATAGGCATTAATTAACTAGTAACCATCAGATCACGAGAGTATAACTAAAATATCATGAAATATAATCCAAAACAATCATCATTCATCATCTAATTAAAAGAAAATTTCAAAGTAACATAATTAAGTCATTCAAGGTTACATCCCAAACCTTAACATTCAACAAAATATTAAATAAAAATGATAGTATCAAATAACTAGAAATAAAACATTAATAACAATTCAAACATCCACAATTTTAAAACTAAAGCAAATAACATCTATTCACTCCTCCAAAGTAGGATCCACCACTTGATCTACTTCAATCTCCAAGTCCACATGTTCAACTAAGCTTAAGTCGAGGTGAGCAAAATAGTCCAAGAGGACTAATAAAGTTATATACTAAAAAAATTTTTTTTAATAAAACTCAGTTTATTATTTAATAAAAAAATTATATTTTCTATTGAGAATTTGTGTGGGTAAAATAGTTGCATTATATTAAATATATGATATGCATATGTGTTTTTATTTTACATTATAGATAATATAGTGTGTAAAATTTGACTTATACACATAAGATCAGGTTTTTGGATCCTTGTATGATATGAAGTTTCACAGTTTTAAATAGAATTGGACACACCATCAGTATCATTTGAATGCAATCTTCTGGCTTAGTCTGTCTTTAACATAGGAGATTGTCTTATGTCTCAGATTGTTCCACTATTACACTTTGTGTATTGAACCAGACCATTATTGAGGCTATTATCTTTGTATTGACTAATCCTAAGATATGTAATTGACACATGCATATAATGATTGTTACTTTAATTCATCAAAAGTGAGATTCATTTGAGTCAACAAATTTGGTTAATTGAGAGATGACATTATTTATATGGTGAAAATTAATTATTAAAAGAAATTACGTCTCGATATTTAAATGTGTTGATGATGTCCTCTTGAGAAAGTTCGTAAGTTTTATCCATGTCAAATCCTGTAGGTGAATTTAATTATCCGACATGACAAATAAGTTAAGTGATAAGATCTCAAGGATAAAAAGAAGTCAATTAAAATATAATTGTCAATAATTTAATTAATTGACGAACATTTGTAATCATAAACGTGTAAAGATTATTAAGTATATAATAATGAGGAGCTCGAAATAAAATTTTGAGATAAGACTCAGGAGATCAATAATATGTTTTTAGTGTACTAACTTATTATTAATAGATTGGAGGATGTTTGTTCTGAGTTAGACATAAGATTCCAAGGCCCATTGGAAGGGTCTATACTATAACCTATAAATAAACTCACTCCCTGATTCTCTCAGGCATAGATTTTAACTTCATGTTTAGAAGAGAGAGAGAGAGAGGAGAAGGAAGAAAATTAGAAAATTGCAACCCACACTATATTCAAATTGTGGCGTGGGAGAATATATGGTAAAAGATCATGATGTCCATCGTGCATGCTGTTCGATTTGTAGCTGCCTTCGTTCGTGTGAATCTTCTCTTCAAAGGTAAACTCTAATTCCATCTTGTAGGGTTAATAGACGAATAAATTTTTTGTAATCAATTATACGTGCTTGTCAATGGATCTTGGAATTGTCGTTCCAATAAGGACAACTTTCCAAAGCTAAACAAGGTATACAAAAATGTAGAAAATAGGTCAGTCTCAATTTAGAAAATGATTTATATAGATTTTGAAGTAAAATAAATGACATTTAATAATGATCTCAAGTTTACAATTCCATAAACCTTAAATACGAAACATAGTAGAATCATTAAACAAAATTATGTTTTAACAAAAATATATATTAATTGAGCAAATTGACTAGCATGAATCCACACATCAAATATATCTGGTTCACAAAACTCCACCTTCTCAAAAGCACACCATAGGGCAACAAAGTTTTTGAAAGCGCATATATTGATGCATTAACATTGACAAAATCTTCTTATGAATAAGATATTAACCTTCAACCTCGAACCCCCATGAATGAATAATGGTTTGGAACACTACAATGAACAAATCATAGTACAAGATACAAGAGATAATGTTCATACTTTTAAATAAAATTCATATGTACCACAAGCCATAATTCCACAATTCTCAAAATAGAGGAATACTTCCAATAAAACAACCAAGAGATCTTAAAAAGACATTCAAGTTAACCATAATCAAGATCTTGGGTTTTTCATCAAGAACATGAATTTTTGGATGTAAATCATATGTTTATTCAAGAAAACGATATATATGATTGAATAGAAATCAAAACTATTGTTTATCTATCATATAATTATGAATAGGAATAAAAAGATATCTATACATAACCCTAATCACCAATGAATATATATGTGGAAAAAACTCTACCTTAATCCATAGTTAATTGATCTTAATGCAATTGGATGTGATTCCTACGTATTAATCCTCCAAGATCTCACCCTTTTTCTTCTCTCCCAACTCCTCTTGGCTTCCTAGGATTGAAAAACTACTAAAATAATCCTAAAACATGTTGCTAGGGATTTATAGGGTGAAAAAATGTTCAGGCAACGGGGTCTAAAATTGCGCTTGTGTTCAAACATGGATTTTCCCATTCGAATGGAGCTTTTCTTGTTCGAACGGAGCTTACTCCAAATATCTCCTCCTTTTCTATTTAGGTTTTCTACATTAGATGATGTTTGAATGGCGGCTTTCCCTTTTGGATGGACCGTAAAAGCTTAGGACAAAAATGCTGAGATAATGTTAAATTTCTTCCTACCTAAATTCTCTTAAAAATGTGTTTTAACTTTAGAATACTTCCAAACTATGAATAAATCTCATATATGTCGAGAAAAGTTGAAAATTTAGAGGTAAGGAAGGTGAATGATGTGGTAAGTGTGTATCAGGAGGATCCTTGCTCTTTATGTGAATCGATTGAGCATTCCATGAAGGATTATCCAACCTTACTAGCTTATAAAGAAGTCCTCTACGAGCAAGTGAATGCCTTTAGTTAGACTTGTAAAACTCGGTAATTTTAAACTTTTATAAACAAGGGCAAAACGGTAATTTTATCGCTATAGTATGGGTTGAAAACTTAAATTTTTTTAGACCTCGGATGATGAAATGGATCTCACCGTTGAATTTTTCTCACAAAATCTAGTTACCACGTCAAATTTTATCAAATTTTGAGATAGTCAGATTTTTTACGTTTTACGAAACAGTCGAGTCTCAGGTGACCCAAAAACGGGATTTCTAATAAAATTTTAAAAGTTAAAAAATAATTTGAGGCAAATTAAAATAAAATTTATTTGAACTTGAGTCAGGGTGAAATTTAATCGTTTTGAGACAAAAACGAACCCGGTAAAAAGATGATGTGTGGCACAATGTGAGCCAAGTAAATGAAGGGTATAAATAGGGAGAAAAATTAGATTTTTCCCCCATTCTTACATCCAGCCATTAGCCGATAGAGAAGAGAGGGAAAAGGGAGAGCTCCTCCATCTTCTCTCTACGATCTATGATTCCACGGGCTTCAGATTCACTCGGTCCAAGAGGAAAAGTCATTCTCCTCGCCAAGGGCTACGCATACGCACCAAAAATGAGGATTTTCACCGAAGGTTGAAAAATGGAATTTTCGAAGGAGAAGATTCTAGTTAGGAGTGGGTTATTGGGAACTTCCTACAGTTATTCTTCACGCTTCAAGAGGTAGGGTTCCTTCCTACTTGGGTTTATTTTATAACCTAGAGTGTTATATGTAATGGGTTGACGGGAGGTCAACGAGACCCCACAGTTTTAGGGGGTCACATCTTGGTATCAGAGCCTAGGTATACGAGTTACCTAGGACTGAATGAGCATTGGGTTTAGACCATTGCATGCAATGTACATTTCATCTTATGTGTTTACATGGTGTTACATGATTATGTGCTATGTGATTACGTGAATGATATACATGGTAAAATGTGTATGGAAAAGGACACTAGGTTTAGAAAACATAACTTTGGGGGTCAAAAAAGAAATGAATGGAATAGTTCAAGGTAGAAATGTTTACTAGTGGGTGGTATAGACTCTACTAGAGGAATATGGAGAAAAATCTCAATGTTTCAAGTTTGGTCCCTGTCATGGGATACTAAATAAATGCTCTATCACTATCTGACATGTGTGTAGATGACAACTAGAGAAATGGGACGTCGGGGTGGATGGAACAACCAACCACCACTGAATTTTGACCAACAAGCCTTAGTGGAGGCTATTGGTACGGCGGCTGCTACCATAGCATAGGCTAGTGCTATGGTAGCCACTATTGCAGAGACTGGTGCAAGTGGGGGACAAGGAGGCTCAAGTAACCTCCAGAAGTTCAAAGCACACCAACCTCTGGTATTTCTGGGTGACCATTGGTTCCAGCAAGTCAATAAAGTGTTGAAGGCTATGTAGATCACCTCCGACGCCACCAAGATAACCCTAGCTACGTTTCAGTTGGAGGAAGAATCCCAATTGTGGTGGGATTAGGTGAAGGACTCCAAGAACTTGGAGACTATGACATGGGTAGAGTTCAAGGAGCTCTTCATAGGCAAGTACTTCCCGGCGGCTGCTAGACATACAAAG